TCCTACTTCTTCTTCTTCTCTTCTTTCATCCTCATCCTCATCCTCAGAAGAAGAAGAAGAATGAAAAGAAGAAGAAGAAGAAAGAAGAAGAATGAAAATAAAGAAAGAAGAAAAGAAGAAGAAGAGAAAGAAGGAAAAGAAGAATTCTTCTTGAAAAGATCTCTTCTTCTTCTTCTTCTTTTCATTCTTCTTTTCATTCTTCTTCTTTTCATTCTTCTTCTTCTTCTTCTTCATTCTTCTTTTCATTCTTCTTCAGATCTTCTTCTTTTCATTCTTCTCATTCTTCTTCTCATTCATTCTTCTTTTCATTCTTCTTTTCATGAAAGAAGAAGAAGAATTCTTTTCATTCTTCTTTTCATTCTTCATTTTTCATTCTTCTTTTCATTCTTCTTCATTCTTCTTCTTTTCATTCTTCTTTTCAAATTCTTCTTTTTCATTCTTTCTTCTTCTTCTTTTCATTCTTCTTTTCATTCTTCTCATTTCTTTTCATTCTTCTCATTCATTCTTTTTCATTCTTCTTTTCATTCTTCTTCTCATTCTTCTTTTCATTCTTGATTCTTCTTTTCATTCTTCTTTTCATTCTTCTTAAGAATTCTTCTTCTCATTCTTCTTTTCATTCTTCTCATTCTTCTTTTCAGAAGAAGAAGAAGAGAAATTTGAAGAAGAAGAAGAAAAGAAGAATGAGAAGAATGAAGAAAAGAAGAAGAAAAGAAGAAGAAAGAAGAAGAATGAGAAGAAGAATGAAAAAGAAGAAATTGAAGAATGAAGAAGAAGAAGAAAGAAGAAAGAGAAGAAGAAAAGAAGAAGAAGAAAAAGAAGAAGAAGAAGAACTGAGAAGAAGAATGAAAGAAGAAGAATGAGAAAGAATGAGAAGAAGAATGAAAAGAAGAAGAAGAATGAAAAGAAGAAGAAGAAGAAGAATGAAAAGAAAAGAAGAAAGAATGAAAAGAAGAATGAAGAAGAAGAATGAAAAGAAGAAGAAGAATGAAGAAGAATGAAAAGAAGAAGAAGAAGAATGAAAAGAAGAAAGAAGAAGAAGAAGAAGAATGAAAGAAGAAGAAGAAGAATGAAAAGAAGAATGAAAAGAAGAAGAAGAATGAAAAAGAAGCTTCTTTTCATTCTTCTTCTTTTTCTTCTTCTTTTCATTCTTATTCATTCTTCTTTTCATTCTTCTCATTCTTCTCATGAATCATTCTTCTTTCATTCTTCTTCTCATTCTTTCTTTTCATTCTTCTTCTTTCTTTTCATTCTTCATCTTTCTTCTTTTCATTCTTCTTTCATTCTTTTAATTCTTCTTCTCATTTCTTCTTTTCTGAAATGAAGAAGAAGAAGAAGAAAAATGAAGAAGAATGAAAAGAAGCATGAAAAGAAGAAGAAGAATGAAAAGAAGAATGAAAAGAAGAATGAGAAGAAGAATGAAAAGAAGAATGAGAAGAATGAAAAGAAGAATGAAAAGAAGAAGTATTCCAGTACAGCAAAAAGTGTATCTGCAGAGAGCTCCGCTATTTCTGACAGTTCTCTGACAGTTCCTTCACTATTTACAGCGGTTGAAACATTGTATCTGTTTTCCGAATAAAAACATTTCAACCGCTGTACATGTGAAGGAACTGTCAGAGAACTGTCAGAAATAGCGGAGCTCTCTGCAGGGACACTTTTGCGGGCTCGATCGGGAAAAAATCCGATTCGCGCACCCGAAGTATGCTAATATTCGGATCTCGTCCGCGAATGGAATTTTTCCTGAAATTCGAAACGAATTCCACTTCGCCTGGTTCGATTCGCTCATCTCTAGTTTACAATAGTTAGCTCTTCTACCTAGCAGCACTACGGCTGTTAGTTTGCATCCCAACCACAGCAACACCTGCCTGGAGTTTGCATGTTCTCCCTGTGCTTGCATGGGTTTCCTCCCACACTTGAAAGACATGAAAGGGTAGGTTAATTGGCTCCTGTCTAGTATGTTTATGCCTAAATGTGAGTTCGAGACCTTCAATTGTAAGCTCCTTGAGGGAGATGTTGGCAGCGATCATGGACTGAATTTTGCCCTTTCTGTCAACAGCAAGCACAGGAAAGCAGACATCAAGGAACAGCTAGTACAAAGGTAGCACAGTGGTTAAATGGTTAGCACTTCCGCCTAGCAGCAACAGGGTCTTGTTTGAATCCCAGCCACAGCACCACCTGCCTAGAGTTTTATGTTCTCTCTGTGGGTTTCCTCCCACATTCCAAAGACATGTTGTTGGTTAATTGGCCCTAGTATGCATAAATGTGAGTTAGGGACCTTTGATTGTAAGCTCCCTGAGGGAGATTGTGGCTCTGCTGGCAGCTATCATCAATTGAAGTTTACCCTTTTTGTGATCTGCAAGTAGAGGAAAGCAGTCATCAAGGGACAACTAGTACAAGGGCAGCACAGTGGTTAAATGGTTAGCTCTCCTGCTTAGCAACACTAGGGTTGTTATTTTGAATCCCAACCACACAGCACCACCTGCCTGGAGTTTGCATGTTCTCCCTCTGCTTGCATGGGTTTCCTCCCACACTCCAAAGACATTCTGGTAGGTTAATTGGCTCCTGTCTAAATTGACCCTAGCATGTGTATGCATAAATGTGAGTTAGAGACCTTCAATTGTAAGCTCCTTGAGGGAGATTTTGGCAGCTATCATGGATTGAAGTTTGCCCTTTCTGTCAACAGCATGCACAGAAAAGCAGACATCAAGGAACAGCTAGTACAAGGGCAGCACAGTGGTTAAATGGTTAGCACTTCTATCTAACAGCACCAGGGTTGTTGGTTTGAATCCTAGCCATGGCACCACCTGCCTGGAGTTTGCATGTGCTCTCTGTGGGTTTCCTCCCACATTTCAAAGACATGCTGGTAGGTTAATTGGCCCTAGTATGCATAAATGTGAGTTAGGGACCTTTGATTGTAAGCTCCCAGAGGGAGCTGTTGGCAGCTATCATGGATTGATGTGTACTCTTTCTGTCATCTGCATGTAGAGGAAAGCAGTCATCAAGGGACACATAACATGAGGGCAGCACAGTGGTTAAATGGTTAAGTTTTTCTGCCTAGCAACACTAGGGTTGTTAGTTTGAATCCCAACCACAGCACCACCTGCCTAGAATTTTCATGTGCTTGCGTGGGTTTCCTCCCACACTCCAAAGACATGCTGGTAGGTTAATTGGCTCCTGTCTAAATTGACCCTAGTATGTGTATGTATAAATGTGAGTTAGAGAGCTTCAATTGTAAGCTCCGTGAGGGAGATTTTGGCTCTATTGGCAGCTATCATGGATTGAAGTTTGCCCTTTCTGTCACCTGCAAGCAGAGGAAAGCAGTCATCAAGAAACAACTAGTACAAGGGCAGCATGATGGTTAGCACATCTGCCTAGCAGTACTAGGGTCGTTGCTTTGGATCCCAGCCATGGCGCCACCTGCCTGGAGTTTGCATGTTCTCTTTGTAGGTTTCCTCCCACATTCCAAAGACATGCTTGTAGGTTAACTAGCCCTAGTACACTTAAATGTGAGTTAGGGACCTTTGATTGTAAGCTCCCTGAGGGAGATTTTGGCTCTGTTTGCAGCTATCATCGATTGAAGTTTACCCTTTCTGTCATCTGCAAGCAGAGGTAAGCAATCATCAAGGGACACCTAGTATGAGAGCAGCACAGTGGTAAAATGGTTAGCTCTTCTGCCTACCAGCACTAGGGTTGTTAGTTTGGATCCCAACCACAGTGGAGTTTGCATGTTCTCCCTGTGCCTGTGTGGGTTTCTTCCGACACTCTGAAGACATGCTGGTAGGTTAATTAGATCCTGCCTAAATTGGCCTTAGTATGTGTGTGGATATGAGCTAGGGACCTTAGACTGCAACCTCCTTTAGGGAAGGGACTGATGTGAATATAAAGTGCTGTGTAATTTATTGGCACTATATAAATACCTGTAATAAATAGATAAAGTGCTGTGTAAATTGTCAGCACTATAAAAACCTTTAATAAATAAAAGGCTGCTATTCTAATTAACAACAAAACCCCACCCATAACAAGACAACCCCCCAAACCACACAAACCGCTTACCTATAGCCAACATCTCAATCTAAATACCTAGAGCAGGTTATTTTCCATGAGCAGCTGGTGGGTGGCAGTAATAGGGAGAGCGCGGAATAACAATTTATAATTACATATTCGTGTCTACAGCCATTCCGTCATGACATCCATCAAACCACTGCATTGTCTTGTCTCTAAGGAAACATGACGAATACTTTTCTCATATTTTTATAGGAAATAAAAGAATGGCTTGTAACATTTCATAGCAACAGCAAGAGTGACTGCAGCATGCCTTAACGCTCTTAATGGTTATGCTTTCACCTCTTTGTCATTACCACAAAGACTTTACAGTGGCAGCCTTTAGAAATAAACACAGCCAGGCTAAATGTCTATATTTAAGTAGCGTTGTCCCTCGGTTCTCCCTGCTGCTTGGTCAGTAAATGGATTTCTAGGTACCATGCGCTTTCTCGAATTTGGGCAGCAGAGGGCGAGCTTGTACAGGCGAAAAGGAAGAGCCGGCTAGAGAGCGAGTGCCGCAGGAAGAGTTGTGCTGCAATAGGGCGCCCCGCTCGCCTTAGAAGCTGTCAGAAGCCGTCGTTCTAGGATCGCTGTCTGCATCAGCACCACGGAGAGCGCTCGGCTCTGCTCCTAGCAGCCTGGACAGAGACAGACAGCTTCTCATCATCGTGAGTATTCGCTTTTATCAGCTCCATCAGCCACCATCCATAGCAGACACTCCCTGACTGCTCATTGATAGAAAGCCTGCGCATGTAATCAAAGGGCTTATCTATAGGCATCCTCTATAGACATTGTATAATAGTTTGTTTGTTTTACTGTCCTACGTTAGTATTAGATCAAAGGGATTTCATGCATAAAAATGTCTATTGTGATGAGCTCTGATCCCCTCCATTTGTAAAGGATGCATTTGACTGAGCCTGGACATTTTCCTGCTCTCTAGGTGTGGGAAGAGAGGAATAAGGATGGTGAAGCTGGGGAGCAATCTGAGTGACAAGAACACTAAGGAGGCTTCTGCCGAAGATGGCTTTCAGACGGTGCCTTTGATCACACCCTTGGATGTAAACCATCTGCAGTTTTCTGCTCCAGAGAAGGTAATGTTATTATGAATAAATCCTCTACTGACCTACAGGGCTCTCCTTTATTTGTGGCTGTCAAATCCATCAGCCTGCCTACTTCACCTTACGCTTTATATTATAGACCCCTTCATGTCAATGTTGGATGAGGAACATGAGTAACGTATGATGCTAAGCTATTGCTGTTTGCTGGAATATTGCAGCCAAAGGCGACTGCTTCTGGTGTCAGACTCAGGTGGGGCATATAGAAGTGGGTATTATTCATACTAGTAAGTAGAGCTAGCACAGTTAGTATTGTTGGCTTTCTACTCTTGATATTTTACATAGTATTGTTGGCTTTCCAGTCTTAAGATTATAGGTAGTATTGTTCGCTTTCCACTCTTGAGATTATATGTAGTATTGTTGATTTTTCACTCTTGAGACTGTAGGTAGTATCTCTCTGGCTTTCCACTCTTGAGATTGTAGGTAGCATCTCTGGCTTCCCACCCTTGAGATTTTAGGTGGTATTGTTGGCTTTCCACTCTTGAGATTGTAGGTAGTATCTCTGGCTTTCCACTCTTGAAATTTCAGGTAGTATTGTTGGCTTTTCACGCTTGATATTTACATAATATTGTTGGTTTTCCACTCTTGAGATTGTAGGTAGTATCTCTGGCTTTCCATTCTTGAGATTGTAGGTAGTATCTCTGGCTTTCTATTCTTGAGATTGTAGGTAGTATCTCTAGCTTTCCATTCTTGAGATTTTAGGTAGTATTGTTGGCTTTCCACTCTTGAGAGTATAGGTAGTACCATTGGCTTTCCTCTTTTGAGATAGTAGGTAGCATCTCTTGAGATTGTAGGTAGTGTTGTTGGCTTTCCACTCTTGAGATTGTAGGTAGTACCACTGGCTTTCCCCTTTTGAGATAGTAGGTAGCATCTCTGGCTTTCCACTCTTTGAGATTGTAGGTAGTATTGTTGGCTTTCCACTCTGGAGATTGTTGTAGGTAGTGTCTCTGGCTTTCACTCTTGAGATTTTAAGTAGTATTTTTGGCTTTTCCACTCTTGAGATTTTAGGCGGTATTGTTGGCTTTCCACTCTTGAGATTGTAGGTAGTATCTCTGGCTTTCCACTCTTGAAATTTTAGTTAGTATTGTCGGCTTTTCACGCTTGCTATTTTACATAATATTGTTGGTGTTCCACTCTTGAGATTGTAGGTAGTGTCTCTGGCTTTCCATTCTTGAGATTGTAGGTAGAATCTCTGGCTTTCCATTCTTGAAATTTTAGGTAGTATTGTTGGCTTTCCACTCTTGAGAGTATAGGTAGTACCATTGGCTTTCCTCTTTTAAGATAGTAGGTAGCATCTCTGGATTTCCACTCTTGAGATTGTAGGTAGTATTGTTAGCTTTCCACTCATGAGATTGTAGGTAGTACCACTGGCTTTCCTCTTTTGAGATTGTAGGTAGCATCTCTTGAGATTGTAGGTAGTGTTGTTGGCTTTCCACTATTGAGATTGTAGGTAGTAGCATTGGCATTCCTCTTTTGAGATAGTAGGTAGCATCTCTGGTTTTCCACTCTGGAGATTGTAGGTAGTATCTCTGGCTTTCACTCTTGAGATTTTAGGTAGTATTTTTGGCTTTTCCACTCTTGAGATTGTAGGTAGTATCTCTGGCTTCCCACTCTTGAAATTTTAGTTAGTATTGTTGGCTTTTCACTCTTGATATTTTACATATTATTGTTGGCTTTCCACTCTAGGATTTTAGGTAGTATTGTTGGCTTTTCACTCTTGAGATTGTAGGTAGTATCTCTGGCTTTCCACTTTTGAGAATGTAGGTGGTATCAGCTTTCCACTCTTGAGATTGTAGGTAGTATCGTTGGCTTTCCACTCTTGAAATTGTAGGTTGTATCACTGGCTTTCCTCTTTTGATTTAGTAGGTAGTATATCTGGCTTTTCCCTCTTGAGAATGTAGGTGGTATAGTTGGCTTTCCCCCCTGAGATTTTAGGTAGTATTGTTGGCTTTCCAATCTTGCGATTGTAGGTAGTATTGTTGGCTTGAGAAAGAGGGAAGGGGAGAGAGAGGCGCCAAGCAGCCATTGGTGCAGTAGTAACTTTATTAAATAAAAGCAAAAACAGATTGTATTGCACTCACAAATGTCCAAATAGTATATACACATAACAGCTGAACAGTGTCCAGGGTCTAGAGAGCAGTGAAATGTCCTCCTGGGAGCTGCTTTTAACTGTCAGGACACTGGTGGAAGCCGGTGCAGTGATCCATGGAGCCACTGCTGGGACCCTTCAGAGAAGCAGTCAAATGAACTGTCAGGGATGCTAGAGCCAATCAGCGACACGCTTTGAAAGCAGACCCCGCCTTCTTCATCAGTCTTGTATCATTGTAGTATTGTTGGCTTTCCACTCTTGAGATTGTAGGTTGTGTAATTGGCTTTATACTCTTGGGATTGTAGATAGTATTGTTGGTATTCCACCCTTGAGATTTTGCGTAGTATCATTGGCTTTCCACTCTTGAGATTTTACTTGCTTCCTTTGCACTGAATTGAAATCTCAAAACATGTTATCAGCAGCTATCTGAACTATAAAATGCCTCTTCCTCAATGCAATAGAGATGGGGACAGGGGGAAATGTGTGTAGTCCAAATCAGTGGCCTAGAGTGACAAAGGTGCTGCTCCATGTATATAATACAATAAGTGAGAAATGTCACCCTAGCAAAGGAAGTGTGTTACAGGTAGGTTTACAAAAATTAACCCCTTCCTGCCGCCTTCTCCTGGCCCTTTAGCAGGTCCTGGGAGGTGGAGGTGGGCATTCCAACAATGTGAACACTGTGATTGGCAGTCACAGCGGTTACATGAGTGGAAAGCTCCCAATTGCAAGTACGCATTGGGAGCTTTCCAGTACCTGCTTGTTACTGTGCTGGGAGCATGCGGGGAGTGCACTCCCAGTGTAGTAAAGTGTTTACCTAGGGATACATATATGTGACTGCTTGGCATTAAAACCCACCCACCGAGAGGCTTCATATATGCGTACAGCTGGTGGGAAGTGGTTAGGGGAAAAAAAAGTCTGAAAAACATAAAGTAATGCAGCTACTACAGCTAGGTACTGGTCATCTGCAATTTATTACATTTTTTTTTATTTAAACTCACTTTAAAGCTGAACCTCAAGCTAAATGCATAGATAAAATTAATATTGGAGAGCTGAAGGCTTAATACACAGATATCATATATGTATATATCTGTTATCTGCAAGCTAAATACACAGATATCATATGTGGGACCTTTTTAGCTCTTATGTTTTACCTGCTAAAAGATTTGTCATTTTGTTTATCCATTTTTGAGATTTAAGCAGCTATACCACAAAGCACATGTCTGGCAGGTGAGTAGACCTTATTTTCTCTACCCAATAACTTAACATGGGTTCTGCCCCTCCCCCAGTCTTTGACCGAACAATGAAAGGAGAAGCAGCTGTGTGATGAGCTTGTTGCACTGTGACTCTGCTTTCTCCTCCTCTCTGCATGCTCCCTGTTAGCGCATGGGCACTGCAGTAGAACTGATTGTGCTGCTCATCCCTCTGTCTGTGTGAGCTTTACTGTACAGGGGATTGCAAAAGGGCAATACTATGTCAAACTCACACTGCTTTTATGCATTAAAAATACATTTAAAGTGTTACTAAACACAAGACCCTGCATTCACTATATCTGGTCTTCTGCAGTATGCAGAACATAGAAGTGCAAATATTTTAGTAAATATAAACTGCTAAATACCTTTTCTCAGTAGTGAGAGCAGTCTTGTGACTTCTATCAGTGTCCAGAAGAGCACATGTTAAAGCTTGGAGGAGAAGGAGTTTTCATTCTGCTCTAGGAAGATGCAGGGCCTCTAACCTCTGTCTGGACAGTACTGATTGGCTCTGTGCTGATCACATGCCTTCTCCCAAGAAAAAAAACAACCTTTCTAGCAATACACAGCAAACTGAGTATGTGCAGAGTGACTCCACACAGTATGTCTTATCAGGAGACAAGAAGGGGAGGATCCTAGAAGTCAGGATCAAACAGTATTTTTTACACAATGCAGAGAATTAACCCCTTAGGTTCCACAGTGAGTATAACAAGCATGCTTTACTGTAAATGCAGACTGATTTTACTGTTGTGGGTTGAGAAAAACTTTAAAGATATATTTTGAAATACTGAGCTTCATTAATTTGTGTCTTTCATATATACCTGTCTTAAAATGAAATGAAACAACATTACATAATTTTAGCTGGAGTCGGGCATAGTTAAAGGTAACCATACAGAGAAAACTATGGAAGTTGCAGTTGCTGGCCCCTTTTGGAAAATGTTAATTACTTGTCCACCATTGATTTTCTGAAATTCAGACCTGGAAAAAGTACGCAGCAGGTAATTCAGAGAGAAATCTAAACACTAGATCATTATACTTATTCCAGGTCACGTAATTATTAAATTGAACATATCAATATAATAGCCAGGCAACCTACATTTTAAAAAGGATAAGTCAGTAGTGGCACACACCATCTTTTGATTACTTTTAATCCTACATAAGGTATTTGATGCTGTCTGATATCTCAGCTATAGCTCAGACATGACAAGCCAAGCACTGCTTTTTAGATGGGCTACCTTTGTAATGGCTTAAGGCTGTTTGGACTGTGTTTGTGTAGTGTATTTTCTTGTATTTGTACATACGTGCTGTGCGGTACTTACATATCAGTCCATCAGCCTTTTTGGTTCCCCCGTGTGTATTAAGGGTCTAATTCTTGTTTGGCTTAGAAGGATATAACAGAGAGAAATACATACCTAACTCTTTGCTCTCCTGGCAGCCAATTTCAAAATATAGATGGGCCTCCCATGTCCTTATGTACAATGCAGACACAGAGTTCAGCTTTAAGTACTCTTTCACACCATACATGCATAAAGACTGATGGAAAAAAAAATCAGATTTGGCTTGCACGGAATATTTTTGGCTTGTTCACACCATATGCAGAGACGTAATTTTTTAACATACGTATCTACAAGGACACAAAG